CCTGCCTGGGAGCAACACTCGAATCACTAGAAAGCACAGATAACCACCAAAGGGTCACACACTACACACAACCACAGAGGGTCACTAAGGATGAGTTAAGCATGACATGAATCCAAAATTTGCTCTATTATTTGTCTGAATCACAACATACAATACCGGAGAAACAGAGCACACACTCACGACCATGCTTAATGTGATGGAATGAATAAGAATTTATGGACGAAGCGTAAATTTGACAAACTATTGAATCAAATATCATCCTTTAAACATTAAACATATATGTATTCACCACCTCGAATCGCATTCAAAACCCCTTTTCCGTCTTCTTCGGCCTCCTTCTCCCTCTCCTTCCAGCTTTCGTATGCATGATCATCCGTCTGCGGCTCATGCGGCGTATGGAACAAATATTGTGCTCATCCTGAAATGTAGCGATCAGCGTCCTCGCCGACCTTTTCAACACCTCCTCCATGATCGTGATCACGGGAAGATTCGCCACCACCAGTTTGCTCGGTATACTTATATTTCATCAACCTTCCACTCTCCATCCATGTACTGACTGTTACTTAAGTTGGAAACAATCACTTCTCATATTCTAATCCTGATTCATGTCGTACTGAACCAAAATATAATTAATATTTTTTCATATTCTTTTTGGACATCTATGTTGAAGATACCTTTGTAGTACTGTAATTATACAACTTATCATTGTGTGCTAATTAGAAACACAAGGCATACTCTCAGTCAATGTTCTAAATACCGCTAGGCGGTAGGCACATGACCCCAAAGCCTAGATGGATTTTTTTTATTTTAATTAAATTTAGGCTAAATAGGCAAAATGGTCCTTGAGATTTGCATAACTCATCACTTTAGTTCCTAACATTTCAAATCGATAAAAGTGGTCCCTAAGATTGTCCACCATCCATCATTTTGTTCCTTCCGTTAAAAACTCCGTTAAGTGTCCCGGAGCTCTTGGTTGGAAGTTTAGGCAATTTTCAAAGCTTCGTAACTCAATCATTTCTTAACCAAATTCAACTCATAATATATCAAAATGAAGATAAGAAAGTGTAGAATAAGATTATACCTATTTGGAAGCCCAATGGATGCCGGAGATGGCCGGAAAATAGCTTCAAAGTTGACTGGTCCAAGGGAAAACTAGAAAACTCGTCAGAAACTGGGTAAACTTAAACGTTCATAACTTATTCAATACTCAACGAAATCAAGTGATTCAAAAATGAAAATCATACTTCTCGATGAGACGAAGAGAATGGTACCTTTTTAGATGGCTAAATCACCGTGTTTTGGCCGGAAAATGTAGCATTCTCTTCGTCTCATCGATAAGTATGATTTTCGTTTTTGAATCACTTGATTTCGTTCAGTATTGAAGAAGTTATGAACATTAAAGTTTACCCAATTTCCGGCGAGTTTTCCAGTTTTCCTTCGAACCAGTCAACTTTAAGGCTATTTTCCGGCTATCTCCGGCAGCCATTGGGCTTCCATATAGGTATATCTTATTCTACACTTTCCTATCTTCATTTTGATATATTATGGGTCAAATTTGGTTAAGAAACGATTGAGTTACGAAGCTTTGAAAATTGTCTAAATTTCCGGCCAAGAGCTCTGGGACACTTAACGGAGTTTTTAACGAAATGACCAAAATGATGGATGTTGGACAATCTCAGGGACCACTTTTATCGATTTGAAATGTTAGGGACCAAAGTGATGAGTTATGCAAATCTCAAAGACCATTTAAGCTATTTAGCCTTAAATTTATTATATAAAACACAAAATAGAAGGGACGGTGGTTCTGACCGATTAGAGTGGTGGATGGTGGTTCTGGTTCGGCTAATGGAGAATGAAGAGAAGGACATAAGAAAGTTGTGAGCGAGGAGAGGAAAATTAAGTAAGGAGAAATATAAAAAAGAGGTGGCAAAGGAGAGAAAAAAAAACCCTAAGAAAAATTGATTATTTAAGTTGCTTTTTAAAATTTTTTTAAAAAAAAAGTAAAAACAAAACTGACTTTATGATCCGACCGCTTAGGCTCTGTCAAATACATTGTCCGCTTTTTCTTCCGATTATAAATTAATGGAGGGGGCTAGCCAGCGCCTAGACGCCACCTAGACCGAGTTTTTAGACACTGCTTCTAGCAAATAATTGGAAACCCAAAAATTGTTGAGTTGGGCCACATGAGCTATGTTGGCCGGTGCAAATTTGGATGATTTGAGGTTGTTGAGTCGATCCATTGGCATTTTCTAGTTTAATTGGGCAGGTGCAATTCAGCCCAATGAGTGCTTTTCTTAATCTATTTGGGGGATTAGGTTTTCCATAAGGATTTTGAAACTTCTTTTTAGCATGTTGAATGAATAAAAAAAAAAGATGAAAGGAATATTTAAGGAGAGTGAATGACATAATAAGAGGAAATTATATACAAGCTCAATGGCAGCTTTTGCACTTTTTGAGTGTCGTTTCATGAGAAATTTGAGCGATCCCTCCATTATCGATTATAAGTGTTGGAGTATGGGTCGTTGTTGGGACGTCCTAAAGTAGTCATCATGAACCGAACAAGGCAATCTCTCGTTCATAGCAAGCAAGATATCCAATTTACTAGCAATAACATCAACATGCATCTTAGAAGCAAAAGCATTAGAATTATTTATTTCAAAATTCTGGCATGCATTACGTGATGACCTGTCTCAAATTTTGTTTATTGTATTCCTTAAATGTGAGAAATAACGAAAATGCCATGTAGGGCTAACTGGAATCCTATGTGGACATTTGAGTTAAATCATATTTTGTCTCCGTTCTTGTCATATTCTTATAGTACTCGTCATTGCGAAGACATGAGCACAAGTGGAACGGAATTTGAAACTAAAACAAAAAGTGTACAAAGCACAAAACATCAAGGGTATTTTGGTACTTTCACCATTTTGGACCCTTTCTTGTTTATGTCATTTCTCCTCTTTCTCCAAAACCAAACACAACAAATCATCACCACTTTCTTCGAGGAATCGAACACCAAAACACCATCACATGTTTCTCCACGACCTCCTAAGCATCACCAAACTCGCTGCTTAGCGAGATTCAAGGAGAAGAAGCTCAAACCAATGAGGTTAAGAGCTCCGGAGTTTTTTGACGCCTTTGGGACATTTTTCAGCCACTCTGGCCACTATTTCAACATGGGTAAGGTAAAATAGGACTCCTCGTTCGTTTATCTTCCCTTTAGTAAAAATTTGGCGTAAAAAGGTTGAGTTTTGGAGCTAATAGGAGCTCATTGTTTTTCGACGAATTTCTGCAAAAATCAGGGGACTCGCTACCTCGAACCGGGTCAACTCAACCCGAAAACTAAGTTTAGATTCGATGACTAGAACTCAAACCCGGTCTGACCCGACTCATTAACCCTATATCCGACCCAATCCTAACCCGTTTCTGAATTTAGGTCATATTATTTCAGGTATATTCCGTTAACTTTGACGGAATATTTCATTTACTGTGGAGAAATATTCTATTTTCGGCAACAGTTTCAGCCACCAGCGCATGCGGCGAACTACGATGGCGGTCAGGGGTTTTCAGACCCTGATTTCGATAGTTCGAGCCCTGTTTTGCCGTAATCTTTGTAGTTTCCGACTAGTTTTCTAAGTAAAGGGTGTTTTACTTCAGGAAAGCTTTTCTAGGATTTTTTAACAAAAGTGCAGGGCAAGGAAGCTACGTCCCGACCAAGTATCAGTCAATGAGTGGGGCTTTGTTTTATTTTTATTAGTGAGTGGGCTTATTTTCAAGCGTATTGTATATTTAGTTTCCTTGAATGCTTTGATAAAGCTTTATTACATCATGTCATGCTTTTGCTTGTAAACATAAGTACTATGTATAGTTAGGAAATTATCACAACATGATCATACATATTTTATCTGTTCATCATGTATGCTTACATCGGTGATTATAGTACTCTTTTGGATCATGACTAGCTTCACGTGTATGTTCACATCACACCGTTACGCTCTCTATGAATCCATTGTAGGTGCCAACATGCACCAGCTTGCAATAGGCAAGTAAGACTTGTATGTGATATGCTTAGCACCAACTTCACGTGTATGTGGTACTTGAGCGTAGATTATTACAAAGCATATTCCATGTAGCTATTCTCTGCATGGACTTGTGTGTTGCGTAAATGTGATAATTGATGAGCAAACTATTTTATATAGTTGAGATATTGTGGTTTACCGTGCATTTGAATATTTTAATTTTATGGTAATTGATTTTCATATTGTTACATAGTATGATTTAAGCAAAGCATATTATATACTGCTGCAACTTGCTGAGATATTATGGTTTACCATATACTTGGAAATAATTATTTATACGGTACTTGATTTCATGTAGTATGATTTTGAAATTATACAGGTTTTACAGCGAGGAAATATTATGTTGAGAAAACCAAAGGTTTTATAAACCATTATTTTGGCCTACTTACACTTTTCGTTTTGCGCCCCTTCAAAACTTAGCAGTTGGGTTTATATGGCAAGCGATGGATCTTAGGCGGTTCTGACATACACTCTAATAGATGTAGGAATTTTATTTCCTATTTTGTATAAATATCCATCCTTCCTAGGATGGGCATAATCTTCTTTTACTGCACTTTTATCTATGCTATAACATTACATACTTTGTAATATGAGTACATCTCACACTGCACACTCTCACTATTAGTTTAACTTAGGCTTAGACTTTGGTTTTGAATTTATTCACATCATCTACACTTTATGACTTCATCACTTTCTAAGTGTTGGCCAGCACACACCTTGGTTTTGATGTCCACCTGGATATCCGGTTCGAAGTGTGTAACTTTCCTCTTCAATGTTGAATCTCAAGAGCTAAAGTGTCAAACAATGTTTGACAGTCATTGACCATCTTATTCCTAATAGATCCACCTGCATAGTTGTTTCACTGCAGCCTTACTTGAAACAGTGAGCGCCTTATACAAAATACACATGAAAACTAGAGTCGACAAGCCATGGTGAGGACACTTGACCAACAAATTCTTGAATCACCCCCAGGCTTAAAAAAATGTCTCATCTGCCAATTGAGTAAATTGCATAATCTTGTCTCTCAGTTCATCCCTCTTCTGAGTTGAAAAGAACTTCCCCCAAGAATTTGATTTGAATGTCATTCCAAGTAAATAGGGATCCAGACCACAAGGATTTTAACTATGTCTTTGCTTTGTCTTTCACAGTATAAGGAAAGATCATCATCCGATACCACATTGAAAAATATCTCTAATATGAGCCCATGGATCTTCAATACTCAAACCATAGAAGGATGACATCATATTAGAGTGAATATTCTTCAACTCATAATATTGAGCAACATCGGACAGGACAATGCTTGATGGTAACATTGGAATAGTCGGGTTATCAAGGTCTCCTATTGTGTCGTTCAGTATCAACATCATTTTCTTCTCTTGCCGATCCTTCTTCTCTCTTCTCTTTGTTTCCTTCAGATTGCACGAAAGTTTTGCTCAATTTTAGGTTCAAATTAAACTAGTTTGCAATGCGATGATCGTGCCAGTCAGTCACCTGCAAGAAACAATGATTACGAGTGAGAGAATGCACCCAAAAAAAATAAAACAAAATAACGAAAAAATAAAATAAACAAAAATCACAAAAGCAAAATAAATTAAACAAGATTTGAGGCAACATCACCAAAAACTAGTTGAAATAATTGCAAGCGCACTATATCGTTCAATTAATAAAGTAGTAGTAGAGTATCGTTACACCAATGATCGAGTTAACCTACTTACCAACGTAATTTAAAAGCAAACAAACAAGGATTGAAATGACAAAAGGGGTTGTATGAATGAATTATGACAAGTAAATAAACCAATTTTTAAAAAAAATTAATAAAACGCTAGGACACCAATTTTACCTAGCTAATCCCACCCGAACCTCTCTAGTTTATTAATACTCAATCACCTAGCATGTTGATAGTTATTTTTCCTAATCTCACCAATACTCTCTCAAGTTATACTAGTTGTGTTCCTCACCATCAACCCGCTCTATTCCTTGTTATGGATTTAGAAGAAGAAACCATTGCGTTCCATGGAAAACACTAAACACTAAACAAACCATAATGTAATCTTCCGAGTCAACTCTGTAATTTATGGCACTTGTTCAACTTTACTTCAAGTCTAAAGAAAGGGACAGGCAAAGTCCACACGCTATTAGCTTGCTTAAATCTCTTCACTCGCATAGTAAACTGCACTCGCCATGAGACATGGGGCAAAAGAGAGACCCATAAAAGGATCATTTGTGTATAATCCTACATAATATCGTATGTTGTTAGTTCCGATAAACTCAATCACTTGTTGTCGTTACTCATCAGTTTTTTGTTGAGGTCTATCCTATAGAGGTACTCAATTTAGATCAGTGATCGATCATATCATTTTTCGTAGATTAGCATTTCGATGGGCATAAAGAAATCGTCTTGGTAGTAACTGTTGGAATTTAGGATTATTTTGTTATTTGAATTTGGGCTTAGCCCGTTAGTATTAGGGTTTCGTTTTCTTGCTTATTAGGGTTAAGTTAGTTCTCTATATATATGGTGCTTTGTATCTCGTAGAATAATAAGTCATTCAAGATGTAGTCTCTTAGGGTTTTGTAGTTCTTTCTGCATTCTCGTTAGTTTAATAATATTCCTATTATTTTGTAATCTTATTCGTTGCGCATTCTGATATTCAACTTGGTATCATAGCAGGTTTGATCCTTGGGGATTTAATCTGCTCTTGATTGGTGTCAATTTGTTTGTATCAATTTATATTAATTAGGGTTTTGCTGCTTGAAGAAAAAAAAAAGAAAAAAAATTGATTTTGTTTGCTGCATCATGTCATCGTCCTTTGCCCGACCCTTGTCCTGTTGGAACCACCACTCCATCATCAGAACCCAAACCCACACGCCGCTGCTGCTAATCAATCTTGAACCACGTCTCCACGATCTCACACCAAACCATCGCCATTTGTTGTTCCTGCAAATTTGCTGCCACTTGTCGTCACACCACCTTGTACCCAACTCGAGACCCAACAACCCACGCACAACCGTAATCCTTGTTGCCAGAAATCCCGACCCACAACCTAAAGAACTCGGTTCGACTCGCCCCATCTCTCTTGCATGACTCACTACCGCTACACCAAGAACCTGTTTCTAGCCTGATTCTCCAGAATTTGTTGATTGCTGGAATGGATTGTTCGTTTGTTCGCTTGAATCGCTTTCCTTGTCGTGTCCGCCTAACGGAGCTTGTCTTGTCTTGTCCACCTAACGGAGATTATGTTGTCTTGTTCGCCTAACGAAGCTTGCCTTGTCATGTCTGCCTAACGGAGCTTGTATCTGCATTTGCTTATTGACAAACTCATGACGTGTACTGCCATGAGTTTGATGGGGGTGTTGGAATTTAGGATTATTTTGTTATTTGAATTTGGGTTTAGCCCATTAGTATTAGGGTTTCGTTTTCTTACTTAGTAGGGTTAGATTAGGTTAGATTAGTTCTCTATATATATGGTGCTTTGTAGCTCGTAGAATAATAAGTCATTCAAGATGTAGTCTCTCTTAGGATTTTCTAGCCGTTCCGGCATTCTCGTTAGTTTAATAATATTCCTATTATTTTGGAATCTTGTTCGTTGCGCACTCTGATATTCAACTGTAACCACCAAACCAATAGAGCATGGTTCATCTTTAAGGAAAACCACTCTTGCTTCGGCAATTCAAATGTAGGAGATGACTTTTAACTAAGTTGAACAACAACAATAGCCGAAGGTTCAAGAGGCGTTGCCGCAAGCACCAGTACCGGCTGAAGACTCGGAGGCCATAGAAAGCAGAACTATCATGCAAATGAAAGAGCCCCGGCGATCCATGGAATCCTGACAATCTATTGCCTTATTCTTTTTTAGCTTTAAGCTTGGTTCCTCGCAAAAGAGATTGGACACGTCCTCACTCATTCTTTTTCAAGATCTTTGAGCCTCTTCCTAACTAAAGTTTCGCTTCTTATCTCGCAACTCATAGACTAACCGTATACCCTTCTGGTGTGAGATCTCCTATGTTATAAGGCCAACCAACACATATTACATTCTTTTCCTTTTCCTTTTTCTCTTATTCAGTGAACATGTCGCATTGCCCGAAGCCAGGAATTGTGATGTGACATGGCTTACTTCGTACCCAAGGGAGGTTTTACCCACCAAGTTCAGCTTTCTTGTTCAAGTATTGGCTTGCTCAGCTTTCAACATAATTCTTCTAATCAAACAATTAGTGGCTAATTAATGACCAGCATTAAGTATAGTAACAAGCACTAAACATGCAAAGATGAAATAAATTAATCATGTATGCAAGTATTCATAGTTAAGTTACATCGACTCAGAAATTTTCCTTTTCTTCTGGTTATCATCTTATTCGAAAAAAACATAGCGATTGTTCTTGGGCCAAGGTTATTTGGCGACCTTTTATTCTGCCTCGACTGTCTATTTTAGCTTGACGGCTTTTTCATGACAAACTTCCTTCCGAAGGTGCACTACAACGAAGTGGTATTTCTCTCGCACCCAATTGTTGTTTATGTCATATCTCTGAGGAATCTACTTTTCATCTTTTCTTCGGGTGCCAAATATCTAGGCAGCTTTAGAGGTGGTTAGCATGTCAATTTGGTACCTCTTTGCCGTTTTCAGATTCCTTGGTTATTTTCTGGGATGCCTATGTATGTAAGCCTTTTTCCTAGCAGTTGCACAGTCTCTGGATTTTTGCAAGTCGTTCTACTATGTCGGCTATTTGGAAAGCTCAAAATAAGTTTATTTTCGAGGGTCGCCCAATCTATTTTCATCGTTTTTGCATGTCTATCAATTCTGGGATCGTTCATGGTGAGAAGTTTATTCCTGGTTATTCTTAGGGTTTTGACGCTCGTATCATTTCTTCTCTGGGGATCCCACCTATCCCTCGCAAGGTGCCAACTATTCTTCATGTGCTTTGGTCTTCTCCTTGATTTCCTTGGATTAAACTTAATATAGATGATTTGTCTAAAGGAAATCCTGGTTCTGCTACTTGTGGGGGGGTTTTTCGAGATTGCCATGGTCAATTTCTTGGTAGTTTCTGCCAAGGGCTTGGTCATTGCAACTCTTCTTTTGCATAATTATCAGCAGTTATTATTGGTATAGAGTTTGCATATCAATGGGGTTGGCATTGTCTTTGGCTGGAAAGTGACTCCTCTAGTGTTATTTCTGCCCTCTAATTGACTAATTTTGATCCTTATTGGCCTCTTCGTACGCAATGGTCTATTTGTTTGGACCGCATTCGTAAGATGATTTCCTATGCCTCACCTATATTGCGAAGGAAATGTAGTTGCAGACGCTTTTGCTAATATGGGCTTATCTTCTCTAACTTTGGTATGGCATGATTCCCTTCCAATGGCGATTGGTGCTGCTTTGTTTTCAGACTATGCTAGCTTGCCTGGCTTCTGCTTGTCAAATTAATGTGCATCTTATCATACAGGTTTGTCTCACTTTCTTATCTTTTTTTTTCTTAACCTTGTGATGTTGCTTGTTCTGTTTTGCAGGTTTAGACCTTTAGGTTCGGCTTTAGAGGAGTTAGGTTTCATGTCCCCCCTCTTTTCCTCATATCTTTATTGTTTTTGTTTCTAGAACGGTAAAGTTTATGTCCCCCTTTCTTTTCATGTATTTTTTATCATTTTTTTTTGTATTATGAGGGGTCAGGTGTACCATTTTTTCGATTCAATGAAATTCCCCTTATACCGTCAAGGTGTTATAAAAATAAAAATAAAATAGTTAAGTTACATCGTAGTCTTAGCTAAAAAAAAATAATTAAATGCCACCATGATTAAATTTGAAAGAATCAACCAAATTTCAATCTCGACTCCAGGATAAAGTTTGAATCCCTCCAATTTCTCCTCCTCAGGCTCTCGGCTTCTCTCTCTATATGTGCGTGCGACGATCTGTTTTGTGTGTAGGTGTGTGCGGTCTATATATCCTCCCGTCTTATTTTGCCGTTCTCTCTTAAATATGCCTTCATTTTTTCATTCCACATGCCAAAAAAAGTTAAAACCAAATCCTTATAGAAACCCTAATCC